TTAAACATCTCATTCACATTTTTCCTTTTAAGATTTGTTCAACCTCTCATTAGCCCAAACTAATATCAAATAAACAATTGCTAGTGATTGTTTTTAACAAATGTTCTAGCTTGGTAAGGCTGTCCACACAGAACAAGCTCTCAGTCTTGCCAAATAAAGGTAAATACTAAGAACAGAGTTTGTCAGAAAGCTGCCAGACACATCAAATAGTGACAGTGCTCTGGGGATGGGGCTTTGATGAGCTCCTAACCTGTTCTGCCAGACCATCCATTAGCTGCTAGGCTTTTCATTTTCACAGCTAATGTAGTTGCAGAGCTATTGGTTTTCAAGGCTACTTTGGAGCTAAGGAAAAGGTTATAGGAATAGGGCAAATTAAAATGCAGCAAAGTGTACTATTTTTACTGATATTCAGCTCTCTTCTTGAAGAGATATTCCTCATATTCTTGAAAACCTTCTGGTAATTTCCAGAGTTCTGTAAAAAAGTTTATTTTGATAGTTGGTTTTTTTTTTTTGCCAGTGTTCTCATTACTTTTGTGAAGAAGATTTTTTGAAGTCCTTACTGTACCATTCCAGGAAAGATTCTCCCTACTCTATTACATTAAAAGCCATTGGTCTGTCTTGATTTCTGAATGTTCTTTTACCTGTGCATGGTTTAGTAACATCATGCTTTGAATTATTTGGGAAATATTGGTTTACTGAGTTATGCAGATCTTCCCAATATTAACATGTTTCATTATATAATTTTTTTAAATCACACTTGTTAATATCACGGCTGATCTCATCAGAAAAGTTTTTAATATGTCAGGCTCACAGTGTGGGACACAGGTTTTCTATAATTCCAATTTTCATTTAGAAGCTCAAATTTTATCATTACCCACAAATACTATCAATAATTTTCCTAAAAGTAACAGACTCACTTTGTTATTTTCAAGAAAATATTGGGTAAATTGAAATACCCAAATCTGAATAACAGTAGTTTAGTGCCACTGCTGATTATCTGCACTTTTCACAGTGGGGTTTTGAGACCTCCAGGGTCCTTGCACCACACACTGAGAACTACTGTGTGGAGGAATTGAATCTGGATTTCTAGATCTTGTCTTTAAATATCAAAGTGGCCGGTGCATGGTGAGAAATAAACTGCAGCTTTAAGACTTATAATAGAGACATGCTGATAACTGATTTTCTAAATGAATATAAGACAAGAGAGAAAACTCGCCTAAGTAAATCTGTAAAATAAGATACCGTGGATAATACTGTGAAATTCTTCAGGTGTGAAATACAAAAAATAGTCAAGAATACATTTGGGAAAGTTCACTGAAAATACTGCTTATAGATCAAGATTCCAATCTTCCAGTACATAGACTGGACTATGGGTAATAAAGTAAATTTGAGGTTGTAACACAGTGATAAATATGGCTTCATAAATATTATTTCAAGCCTCACTAGAATGAGACAAGTTTAAAGAAACAAACGTAGAAGAGATGAAATAATTTCTTTTTTTTAATCATTTTTTTTATTTATTTTCAGCATAACGGTATTCATTGTTTTTGTACCACACCCAGTGTTCCATGCAATCCGTGCCCTCTTTAATACCCACCACCTGGTTCCCCCACCCTCCCACCCCCCCACCTCTTCAAACCCTTCAGATTGTTTTTCAGAGTCCATAGTCTCTCATTGTTCACCTCCCCTTCCAATTTCCCCCAACTCATAATTTCTATTAAGAAGTGTATAACCCATTAGCAATGTTTTTTGCTAAGCATGTGAAGCAAATTCAGTTGGTAGATATAAACTGGTATTACCACTTTAGATTAAAAAAAATGGTACTACTTGTGATGAGCACCTGTTGTCGTATGGAAATGTTGAATCACTACATTATACACCTGAAACTAATATTATACACTGTATGTTAGCAAACTGGAATTTAAGTTAAAATTTTAAAAAATAATAATGAAATAGCTACCTACCAACATGGAGGATAAAAAGAAAACAAAAAACAGAAGGAACAATTGAATATCTTTTTAAAGAGTATTAGAGTCTCTAATTCCCTGCTTGCCTCAGCTCAGTGAATGACTTCCATGTCTTTTCTCACCCCAGCAGAAGTCTGGGGTTTCATTCCCTGGGAAGGTCGCTGAACTGCAGAATGCCAGAGACAACCTAACCCAAATCTTAACCCTACCTGTAAACCTAACCCTGTGCGAATGTCTCTGAACTGCAAGATATCAAGCACATGCCCTAACTCTGGCTCTAATTCTAACCCAGTTTTGGGGGGTGGGGATGGGACATGGGGTGTGTGTGTGTGTGTGTGTGTGTGTGCACGTGTGTGCGCAATGAAATATTACTCAGCCATAAAAAATGAGATTGCTATTTGCAATGACATGGAGCTAAAGAGTATTATGGTAAGCGAAATAAGTCAGTCAGAAAAAGACAAATACCATATGATTTCACTCGTATGTGGAACTTGAGAAACAAAACAAAGGAGCAAAGTGTGGGGAAAGGGAATGGGAAAGGCAAACCAAGAATCCACACTCTTAACTGCAGAGAAGAAGCTGATGGTTGCCAAAGCGGAGGTAGGTGGGGGGATGGATGAAATAGGTTTTGGGGATTAAGGAGTATACTTCTCATGTTGAGCACTGGGTGATGTATGGAAGTGTTCAATCACTATATTGTATGCCGAAAACTAATATTACACCATTAACTCACTGCAATTTGAATAGAAACTTTAAAAAATTGACACTACCTAGTACACTTGAACATACATTCATATATATCCTTTGACTTTACAGTTCTACTTCTGGGTACATAACTCCTGACAAACATTAGCACTTGTGCATCAGGTGACATACATGAGAATGCCATGTTTATCATGGCAAAAGAAAAATGGAAACAAGTGTCAATCAACAATAGAATGAAAAATATTTATGCCATAATCATGCAATGGCATACTCTGTAGCAATGAAAATGAACTATACAGCTACATGCTTACTCATGGATGTGTCTCAAAAAATCTATTTTAAAAAACAAGTCACAGAAAGATACATATAGTATGGTTCCATTTACATAAAAATTAAAATAGGCATAATCAAATATATTTTAACATTTTGCATAAATGATAAAACTGTACAGGAAAAAGAATAATTGTATGAAGCAGATAGTGTAACTTCTATGCAACTATCTGTAGTTGCCTTAAAACTGTTCATATCTAGGGTTGTCTGGGTGGCTCAGTGGGTTAAAGCCTCTGCCTTTGGCTCAGGTCATGATCCTAGGGTCCTGGGATCGAGCCTCGCATCGGGCTCCCTGCTCAGTGGGAAGCCTGCTTCCTCCTCTCTCTCTCTCTGCCTACTTGTGATCTCTGTCTGTCAAATAAATAAATAAAATCTTTAAAAAATAAATATTAAAAAAAAAAAACTTAAAAAAAAAAACTGTTCATATCTAAAGAACAATGCTCTCTCTTGCCCATCTGCAAATCAGGGATATAGATAAGGAATCTTGGTAATTCTCTCACTGAAGAAGTATGTTGTATAAAGTATAATATTCTTTGTTCACTGATAAGGTTGTTTTTATTATAAATTTGTGTGATACTCTTCATGAATCTTTATTCAGTTATATCTTGAGTAATTCCATTCTTAAAACAACCTGTTTTCTCATGGTCACTAAAAGCCCGTGGACTTACAATGTTCTTAAAATATCAATCAGGTAATTGTCACAGCAATAAAATTAATTTAACTATCATTTCTAGCACATCATTAGACTATCTACATGTCTTTGTTAACTTTTCCCTACTTTATTTGGAAGAACAGTAGAATTTTTAATTCTGTGAAGTGTTCAAACAATTTCTTGTTCATTTTGTCATCTATTCTTAGGATGCCCACTGCAGACATTAGTTTCTTTGTAACCCTATTTAATTAGCCTTGATATCTAAAGAGAATAAATCATTGTAACCATGTGTGAGGGATGTTCCAGAAATAAGGAACAATATACAAATTGGAGAAAAAAACTTCACCATTGTAACTAGGCTCTGCCAATTATGTTTTCCTTAACTGTAAAATAAGTCTAGAGCAAAAGAGTAAATGGAGTAGAGTGACTTATTGATATTTTTCATTCCATTATAATTATTATGGTTGGATTTTTTTCATTTTGATATTTATTGGGAAAATGTAAACTATTTCCAATCCATCCCAGAAGGGAAGAGCAATGCTAGATTCTACAGAAATGTTACAATAAAATTCTTGTAGCTCTATTCTGGGTAGAACCAAAAGTATAAAGAAAATTTTGCTTAAAATACTCACATTTAGGGCCACCTGGGTGGCTCAGTCATTAAGCAGCTGCCTTCAGCTCAGATCACAGTCTCAGGGTCCTACTTGCTCAGGAGCAAGATGGGAAGTCTGCTTCTCCCTTTCCCACTCCTCCTGCTTGTATTCCCTCTCTCTTTCTATCTCTCTGTCAAATATATAAATAAAAAAAATCTTTTAAAATTTTTAAAAATATTGGGGCACCTGGGTGGCTCAGTGGGTTAAAGCCTCTGCCTTTGGCTCAGTTCATGATCCCAACATCCTGGGATCAAGCCCCTCATGGGGCTCTCTGCTCAGCAGGGAGCCTGCTTCCACCTCTCTCTCTATCTGCCTGCCTCTCTGCCTACTTGTGATCTCTGCCTGTCAAATAAATAAATAAAATCTTAAAAAAATTTTTTTAAATATTCACATTTATGTGATAAAGAAGAGATAATAGTGGATCTTAGAAATATATAATAAAATTAATGAACTTTGTAAATGCAATTAACAAATCATTTAAATCTAATTGTATACATTTAAAGTGTTTCTACTAACAGAGGTTTTCTTTTTATTAGTTAACAGGTTATCTATTTATGGAAATGTTCTCTAAGTACTGCCAATTATTAATAATTATATATACAAGAATGTTTTACTTTATTTGTAATAGATTTTCCTGAAACTTCAAATGATTTGCTTACTTTCCTAGACTTTACTATTCCTTTTTTATTGCAGCCCTTTGGAGTAAATCAGCCTGGACCTTATATCATGTATACAACTGTAGATGCAAATGGATATCTGAAAAATGGTTCAGGTAAGACTAGATACAATACACAAAAACACCTTTAATCAATATATTGGCAAGGTAAGCTGAATGACAAAAATTATCATTATGTTTTACATGCTTTATAAAATCTTCACTTTTTCTATTATAGTCCCTGCATATCAGTAGATTACAAAAAGGTCCTCATGACAAATATATTAACATTCATTCCTCATATATCCTTATTGTGATGGAGCCAAATCATCATCCTTATTTTTCAGTTGAAGTAACAGAGAGATTTGGAGAAATTACCGAGTTATCTTGTGCAAAGTATGAAGTGGTAAATTAGTTAACAAAGCTATTTTTAGAAGTAAAAATTAGGAATCCAGTCTACGACTTAGACTAGTGTTAGCTTTTTCATATGTGGAATAGAAGCTAGAATGTTACATAGAGGCTTTTTAATAAGTGACTATAAAGAGAAACTTCTAGTTATATACCTGAATAAATAATAAAGGGAAATGCAATCAAAACAAAAAAGAAATAAGACTAAACAAAGGATGTCTGCTTTTGACAGATAGCCAGCTGAGATGAGGTCCAAATCACAGTAGATAGAACTGTTCTAATTTCAACTCTCTAAGTAAGAAAAGGAACCCTAACATATCAGTAGGCCTCTTTGAGATTCCTAGAGTCCTAATCATGAAGAAATATAAACAGTTACTGTTACTCCTCCACTTTTATGCACTAAGAAAAAAAAAAAAAGAAAGAATTTATTATATGGCCATTCTCATTTTATATAATGACCTAACATAAATATACCAGAGTGAATTTCCTTTTTAGCTAATTGTATACATTTAAGACTCTCAATCATAATACTGCTTCAGCACAGAAACACTCCATAAAACAAAAGCTGTTTAATTAAGTTCAAGAAGAAATTGACAGACACAACTAAAATCAAACACTTTAATACACCATTGTTAATCAAGGAAACTTAAATAAGGATAAGAGAATTTGAACAAGTTACTTATTTTTTTTTCTTTTTTTACTTATGTATGTTTTAATTCAGGTGCATATCAAACTACAAAAAAGTTTATGGGACTGGCTGTTTTTATCTTTTATCGTTTAATTTTTTTTTTAAGATTTTATTTATTTATTTGACAGACAGAGATCACAACTAGGCAGAGAGGCTGACAGAGAGAGATGGGGAAGCAGGCTCCCTGCTGAGCAGAGAGCCTGATGTGGGGCTGGATTCTAGGACCCTGGGATCATGACCTGAGCCGAAGGCAGAGGCTTTAACCCCCTGAGCCACCCAGGCCCCCCCATTGGTTAATTGTTTTTGAGTTTTAGATGTAGATAATTCCACTGCCAAGTAAGGTGTTCCAGAACACAAGAAAAAAATATGAAGCCACTTATTTAACGAAATAAGCATAACTTTGGCAAGGCCAGCATACTTAAAACCAAAAATTCACTGGTCAATTATTAATGAAAAATGCTAACTAAAATACTAACAATTTTAATTCATCTATTTTTTGAAAGAATTGCTTATTTAACATCATCAAGTAGGTAGTTATCGCCGAATGCACTAATGGTTTAAAATGGGGGAAAACTCTTCAATATCCTAACAGTAGATCAAAAAAATTTAAAGACCCATCTTCCTCTTTTTTTTTTTTTTCATGCAGTGATATATAAATTTTTCCATGTCTGTTCGTATAGGCAATTTATTTGGGGATCATTTTGTATATTGATACAGTAACTACTCTGGACATGCCACTGTTATTTTTCTTTTCTCCAATATAATATTATAATATAACAGTAAAATCTTTGTACATATATTTTTGTGCAATTAAATGAATATTCTCACTCCGTAGAAAAAAAGCTAGAAGGATCTTCATCAAATTGTTAACATTTGTCTTGGGGATGCAAGATATTAAGAGATTGACTACCTACTAGATACATTAATTACTTACTACTTTTAATCCTTTTAAATTTAATTTTTAAAAAAATAAATTTTACAACAAATGAAATTATTTTAAAATATTATTTTTAAATTAGATGTGGAAAATGTTTTTTAACTCTGTGAATGTTGATTCATTCAAAAATATATATTTAATGAATCTCTACTACAAACAGGCACTGATACCTGGTAGAATATCTTACTGTGTGCTAAAAAGTCATTCAGGAGGGCGCCTGGGTGGCTCAGTTAGTTAAGCAACTGCCTTTGGCTCAGGTCATGATCCCAGAATACTGGGATCGAGTCCCGCATCAGGCTCCCAGCTCCTTGGGGAGTCTACTTCACCCTCTAACCTTTTCCTCTCTCATGCTCTCTCTCACTGTCTCTCTCTCAAATAAATAAATAAAATCTTTAAAAAATAAATAAGTAAATAAAATAAAAACTTATTCAGTAATATTCAGTACCCATTGCTGTTTTTAAGTGAATGTATATTTCCTTAGCATGAATTCTTTTAGTCTATTCCAAAATAGTAATGGAACATTGGGTCTGTTCTTACTAAATTAAATATTTAAGAGTAATTATATCTTTTCCTTGAATTGGGGAAGGAATTTATGGGCATAAAAGAAAGAAGAAAATATCTACAGAAAAGATAAATACAGTTGAATGCATAAATCAAATGAGTGCATAAATTTTCATGGCAAAAAATCATAAAACTAAAAGGCATTAGCAATCTTGGAAACTCTAAATGTCCAGTAGAGAAATAATTAATAAATTATGCCATTTTATAATAATAATTTCCAGCCTATGACATATTTTAAAATAATTTTTGATTCAACAAACAGATATTTATGATATAATATTTGGCAGGGAGGCACATCTATGTGTATAATCCAAATTATATGTGTCGTTTTATAAGCGTGCCTATGTGTAGGAAAAATAGAAAAACAATAATGACACACAGAATGTTACATGATTATCTCTTTGTTGTGGGATTTTCCTCTCTGTATTTTTTCATCTTTCCATTTTACTACACTGATCATATATTGCCTTTAAGAAATTAAGTAATAGGGGCACCTGGGTGGCTCAGTGGGTTAAGCCTCTGCCTTAAGCTTAAGTCATGATCTCAGGATTGAGCCCCACATTGTGCTCTCTGCTCAGCAGGGAGCCTGCTTCCCTTCTCTCTGCCTGCCTCTCTGCCTATTTGTGATCTCTCTCTGTGTGTCAAATAAATAAAATCTTTTTTAAAAAAGAAATTAAGTAATAAATAATATTAAATATTTTAAATATTTCAAGCATGTGCTACGTTTAATGCATAAATATATGTTCTAAATAGGGAAGTAGCACTTAATTCAATTGATTCATGAAGTACTCTTATGAAACCCCCCCTCCAAATCTCAAAGGGTGAAAATTCCTTGTTTAAATGCTAAACATGTTGAAGTCTACAGAAATATTGCTTGTTTAAACCATACATACCTTCCAACCCATCTAGTCCCACTAGAGAACTTTCTGCTGTAGAAAGAGAATGACCACATATATGTACTTGAGAAGCTGCAACCCTGGTTTTCCTATAAAGTAACTAAGGTTGGTACTTATTAGTGGGATAAAACTAATTTGGTGTGGCTTATGACAAGGACTTTTTATTTAATAGAATGAAATAGAACAGTAGAAAATACCAGAGTATTTTCTCTGACCACATAGTAATGTATCAGTATTTATTGTCGGTGTAAAAAGTATGAAAGCCACAGCCAGAGACAATAATGTGCCTTAGAATTATTTAAAAAAAAGGCCTGCCTTAATCATACTTTTGCTTCCAGGGATCTTAGCATGGTTAATCAAATACTCTTTGATCTTTCTCCACTACCTAGCACTGTCTGAATAGCCAAATCTTGTTAAAGAGTTACATTACAGAGTACTCATTAATTTTTTAAATAGCAATAGCTTCTGTAAGAGATTGCAAAAATTAAACTACATTTATCATGACAATTTCAGGAGCTAAACAACTCTGGTTTGGAATCTAGGATTTTGTTTACTGGTCTTGTAAATTAGCCAGAGATCTGCAACAATCAAATTCCTTCAACAGTATTTGATGAAAATTTAGTAGATTAGAGCATGGTAGCAAAATTGTATAAACTAATAAGTTGTTGGTCATTTGTGAATAATAGCATTATTAGACCTAAGATTTTTTTTAACCCCTTAAATTACTTATTTAGTCCTGCTTTTTAAATCTAAAAGGAAATAACTTTCCCTTTAGTCCTCTGTGTTTACTGTTTATTAACATATCTGAGAAAAACATAAGTAACCCTTACCTTCTATGCACACTTCATCATATGCCTCAAATATAAGAGCAGTTAAAATGTATGTCATACTGACAGCACAGCATCTCAGAGGGCAAAGAAAATGTGTAATTACAAAATTCATATTGATGAATTCATATTCACATTAGATTATTATTCATATTCACATTATGTTATTGATGAAGATGATTTATTATAACACATAAGCATATTGCCTTTCTATAATGTTAATTTATAACCCTTCAGATTTCTCCATTTGAACCAATAATTGTCACATCTTCCAATGTCAAAAACATTTTATCCTTTATGTTCATTTCTTACATATATATTTTCTGAAATTATCTTCAAAGTATAGTCATGTTCCATTTATCCACATGTAATTATCCATAAAAGAATATTTTTAGTCCCAAATCATTTTATTTTAACCACTAATCACATTTTAAATTGTCAAACTCATAGCTCAGCCAAAAATTTTAGTTTAAGTAATATTTAACTAAACAGTTATATTTTGTGTCAAAAATCATAATTCATAACAGAAAATGGAAAGAGTTGTTATGTCTTCCTGGAAATCCACAACATTCTTCTCTGAAAGAATGAATTTTTGTAAGAAGAGTCATTCCCTTTCCTTAATCTCCCATCAACTAGAGATCTGATAGGAATAGCCAAGCTGACAGAGATAAGGAGGAGGACTTGGCTAGTGATGATGCTTTTCTTTCACCAGAATGAGAGAAAAGAAAGAGTGTGGGAAGATGTGGAATATCTATAAGCAGTAACTGAAATACCCACTTGATATAATTATAAAAATTGAT